TTCCCAGCTCTGACCTGCCCTGTTCTAAGCTCCTTCCCAGCTCTGACCTTCCCTGTTCTAAGCTCCTTCCCAGCTCTGACATTCTCAGTTCTAAGGCCCCTCCCAGCTCTGACATTCTTCATATCATATTCTAAAGTCCTTCCAGCTCTTCCATTGCTGACCTGGTAGAGCCTCCATGAAAATGCCTTAGTGCTTCAGACCATTTTTACAACTGTATCAAGTTTTTATGGTGCCACGTCATGTCCCATTAGGAACACAATACACAGTTATGGCTCCTGGACTTACATGCCAGTCACTCTAATGTGGGTTGTCTTCCCTTCGGGGACAATCCTGCCCCTGGTTGGGAACCTGACAGACACAGCTGTGCGGGAGGCAAGGGGGACACAGAACCCAAGCACTGCAGTGATGAAAAGCTGCTTTGGAAGGGAGTGAGCTTTCTGTCCCTAGAGAGAGATGCTGAAGTCGAGACTGAATGAACCGTCTCAGGGATGTAGAGAAAGTCCTTCGCTCATGGGGGCTTAGGATCAGGAGATGATGATAAACACTACGACTATTTATATAAGGCTTTCAGGTTTGCCAAGGCCTTAACTCAGTGGATGAGGCTGGATTTCTGGCTCTGACACTTTGGGCCTTTTTCCTCTGGACAAGACACAGGAGGACAGGGTTTAATTGAGGCCCAGAGAAGGGAAGGGACTTGCCCAGGGTCACACCAGCCACAAGAGGCAAAGATCTTCTGATGCTAAGCCGGGACTTCACATGAAGATGAGTCTGCCCGGGTGCACCTTGGGAGTTCTCAGGACTTGTCACCCGAACAGAACAACTGGACTCCCAGAGCAGTAGTGCCCCCCCCCTGCCCCGTGCAATGCCCCCTCTTTATCAGCTCACCGTAAGGACCCTTACAGGTGTCCTGTGCAGTAGGAGCCATTGGGGGTGTGTGTGACTTACTGTCCACATTTTACTGAGGAGGAAATGGAGGTTCAGGGGGTGTCCCTTGATGGCGAGGGAGGTCATAGAAAGAGTGAATGCCCCCCCTGTGTAGAAGCAGGTGTCCTGTGGATGGATTCCTGTTGTGGCCAGGGTGGGGGTGGGGGTGGGGGCCAGGGGAGGGATGCTATGAGAGGCTTAGCAGGACCATCAGGCTGGGAGGGGGGCTGGCAGCCTGGTTGGGAGGGCAGGGCTTCTGACACATCCTCGCTGTGCGACCCTGGGGAGGCCACTTCTCTACTCCCCAGCTATCTTTCTAAGGCTGCAAGTTGCTGGGCAGGTGGGGTCTACACTGGCGGGTAGAACTCCCTCTGCCCCTGAAATCACAGGGGAAGCCTCATCCCATTGATGAAGATGCTCACTTGCACCCAATGCTCAGGAGATTCTGGACGTGCTCAGAGACTTTCCCAAGGCCACAGAGCTTGGAGCCGACAAAGCTTGAAATTTAATTTGCCAAGGAGTAGAGAAAAGCTTGGATCTGGGTCTAGAGACACTTAGTGACTGCGACCTTGGGAAGTCACCCCCCTTCTGGGCCTCAGCTGCCTCCTCTGTGAACAAGGGGACTGGATTCAATGGTCTTGACGATCCCTTTTAGCTTTAAGCCCATGGCCCTCCAAACCTCTGAGCCTCAGTCTCTTTGTAGAAGGAGGATGGTTCTCCACCAGACTCCTCCGGGCGGTGTGAGGCTCTCCCCATTGCCCTGAGCATACTGCCACACTTGTCCCTCAGTTCCCTTGGGGGCTGACTCCCCCCTTGCTGCATGGCCCCAGTGCTCACCTTTGTCCTTCAGGTAGGTCACTGTCTCCTTCATGACTGGCGGGATGAGCTCGCCTTTATTTTTGTCTCTGAGGCTAGAAAGGAGAGAAGAAAAATGGCCAGTTTTTAGCCAGGAGAACTAGGAAATGAAGCAGGAGGAACACTCACCTCTCCAGCGCCCACCCATCCTCGGGCCCTCAGAAGAAATGCAGACAGAAGAAGGAGTCTCCAGATGGGAGACAGCTCATGTCTGGGGCTGGCAAGGAGGCCTGGGAGGCACCAACACCAAGGCGTGGTCACATTCCGGCCTCCCTCAGCTGTGTTCCTCTGGATAGGTAACCCACACTCTTCCTCAGCTTCCTCACGGCCAAAGTAGAGCTAATAATGGCCACGATCCCATGAGCCGGAGGAAGCCCCATGGGTCTGGGGGAGGGGAGCTCAGGATCGACTTTCGGCTCCAGCATCTCCAGGGGAGCCCGTGTGCTGGGGGGATCAGCTCATTCTTCAGACCTTCCAGACTGCTGGGGTCCAACTCAACACTGAACCACAGCTAAGGACCTTGGGGGCCACATGTGGATGGAACTTGAAAATAATTTTTTGAGATTTTATTCCTTTCTTTCTCTTGTTAAATACTTCCCAATTACGTTTGAATCTGGCTTGGGCCCCCTCAGGAATGCTGGGGGCTGCAAGTGACATGTTGGCCACGTCTGCTCTAGATGGGAGCTTCCAGAGGGCAGAGACCATGCCGTCATCACCGCACGTGCTCTCAAGGATCCAGCCACGGCAGGAACGATGACAGTAACAGTAACAACAACCATAGCCAGCATTTATAGAGCATTTACAGATGTGCAAAGAGCTTCACAAACATTAACTCATGTGAGCCTTATGATAAGCTTGGGAGGTAAGTGCTATTGTTATCACCTCATTTTACAAAGGAGGAAACTGAGTCACAGTGTGTTTAAGTGACTTACCCAGGGTCACACAGCTAATAAGCATCTGAGACCAGATTTGAATTCAAGTCTTCCTGACTCCAGGCCCAGTGCTCTGTGCACTGTGGCGCCCCCAGGTGCCTAGAAACAACCTCTTAAGACCCTACCCTATGCAGCCCAGCTGGGCTAGAGTTTCATTAAAAGGTAATGAAACTGTCCTCAAGGCATAACTGGCCCAGGGGACCACTGACTGTGTCCTTGTGGCCCAAATTTTAAATCCAGGCCCAGAGGAGTCAGGAGCTCCTTCCTCCCTCAGGTTTCTGACTTGCAGAGCAACACAGCCGGATTGAGGCAGGTGGGCAGGTCCCAACGGAACCAAAGCAGTATCCTTGCTGAGAAGTCTAATTCCATGCAATGGGTGAAGAAACAGCCATTTGGTGACCACAGAATGGAGACCACATGAGCCTCTCACATAGTTTCAATTCTGAGCCAGAAGCCTGTTTGAAGCCCCACCCGGTCTGCACCCAGGTCCAACAGTCCTCCTGGCTCTGAGCCTGGGATCAGATGGTCCCTGGAAGGTCAGAGAAAGGAGCACACTCTCTGGGCGCAGAGCTCAGGGCTCCCTCCGATGCTCCGTGCAGCCTCCCCAAGAAGCAAGGGAAGGGGGGGATGGGCATGGGGGCCGACAGGGAAGGGCACCTTCTGACCCATTTATGCTTCCTAGGATGCAGGATGAAATGAAAAGCTGCTCCACAAGCTTCCGTCTCTGCCTTGTTTTAGATGCATGAAGAAGAAACAAGGGACAGATCAGCTCACTGCTTCTGCCGTTCCCAGACCTGTCAGCCCTGCCTTGGGAGGCAGGTGCTACTGTTATCACCCCATTTTACAGAGGAGGAAACTGAGTCGCAGTATGTTGGGGGAAGTCAGCAGCTATAAGGATAATGGAAGAGGAGAAAGTGCTTGGAAAACTGGCTTGGACACTACTATCCCAGCCTTGAGAGCCCCTCTCCAATGCTGTCTAAGCCCCTCAGGCCCAGAGAGGGGCAGTGACTGACCCAAGGCTGCATAGGAGACCCAGCCAGAGTTGGAACACTGGTCCCCTGCTCCCAGGCAGCGCTTTGATTGGGATACATTGTAGCCTGCGCCATCCACGTATCATACTCTGGTTTGAATCTCTTAACATTGTAGCAAGCCAGAACTCACATCCACACCCGGACAGAAAAATACTGAAAGGGGAGCCTTTATCTCCAGGGGAAGCTGAGAGTCCTCCTAAGAGCTTGGCTGTTTCTCTTCCACTGGCGGTCATCTGCCTGCTCTGCCCCTCCACTTTTCAGGTCAGTTTTCCAGACGGGCGTTGGCTAAAACAAGGCACCAGCGGTTGACAGAGTTGCGTAAAGAGCATCCTGGGTTCATATCCCAGCTGGGCCGCTTCGTGATGTGGGCAGGTCACTTACCGCTCCCTGGGCCTCGGTTTCCTCCTCATAAGATGAGGGGGATGGACCACAAAACCGGAGAGGGGGCGCCTTGCCAGTTCTGGGTGTGCGACCCTGGGATTTCTGTCATGCTCATGGCACGAAATGCAATTGTAGACACGAAAAGTCTTTTCAAGGCTTTTCTAGCTTGGCAGCCGTCCTTCCATCTCTCTCTGGGGACCTGCTGGAGCTTGGGCTGCTGCTGGCCAGGAACGTTCTCAATATGGGGTGGCCTCCAAGCCAAAAGGAGGCATTAAAGGAGGACTGCAGTAGAGGGCAGTGTGGAATGGAGTGGTAGAGAGGGCTGACCTTGGAGTCATGAGACACGAGTTCGAATCCCAGCTCTGCCTCTCACTAGCTGTGTGCCCTTCCTGAACCTCAGTTTTCTCAGGTGCACAACAAGAAGGTTAGACTAGAAGAGCTCTGAGCTCCCTTCTAGCCCCAAGTCTGCGCTCCACACCGTTCCAATCTCTCCTCATTCATGAAACCTTCTCTGATCTCTGGCTGACAACGGACTTCCCCCTCTGACCTGCCACTGCCCTCTGTCTGCTTCCTCTCTAATGTGTTGATTGTGTAACCCTGCACCAACAAGCATTTACTAAGCTCCTACTATGTTCCAGACACTGTTGAGTGGCATTGTTTTATCCTCTCATTAGTACATGAGCTCCAGAAGGGCAGGGTGGTCACATCTGGTGCAAACTTTGTCTCTCCTCCACTACCCTCCACTGGCTCTACATACAGTAGGTGCTTAATCAGTGTGTGTTTTTTTTTCTGTCTCTTGTCACACTGCACCCTCTGAGAGTTCTGCACCCAGGTTTACAGGGGACTCTTCAGCATTTCATCAACTTAATCTATGATTAAAAATTAATTAGCAGCAATTATAAGGCCACTGATTCCTCTAATCACTGTTTCCCTTACATCTCTTAATTACTTTTCTTGGACTGCTAACTCAACCAGCAACAGAGTGTCATTCCCAATTAGCACCATTGAGGTGATGGCAATCATCCCTCACTCTTCATGCTGAGGCTTGGGAAGGGGGAGATGAATGGTGTGTGGGAAGGCCATTAATTAATCAGTGTTCTCCTCTTGGTGATACAACTGACCAGGGTGTCCCCAGGTCTGAGAAGTATGACCTAGTGAACTCCACAAGCCGAGGTTCCATCTCTTGGGGACCATGCTATTCTAACTAGAAGATGGAGTTGAAGGCAACCAGAATTTTGTCTCAGACTCAAGGCCACTCATAATCCTTGAGATGCAATAACTAGCTATCAAGATGAGTTCATTAAAATAGGAAGTGGCCGGAAGGTCTGCAGCCTCACCCCTGTGACCTCTGTATCCCCTGCCACACCTTTGTCTGAGGACATGTTTCATGCCTGTGGTCCCAGGCACAGCAGGGTCCAGGTATAAATACTGCTAGTTGGAAGAGAAGGGTCCAAGACAATCATTCCCATTTTACAGATGAGGAAAAAGGAGGCTCGGGGGCTAAGCTGCCACAGTAGCTTCTATCCATGCTTCCTGCTAGCTCTGCTCTTTAATCCTTGGTTGATTTGAATCTCAGAGGTGGAGGGGAACTTGGGGGTCTTCCACTCCAAGCCCAACCTACCTTGTAATTCTTCTCCAAAACATTTAAGACAAGTGGCCACCTGGCCTCTGCTTAAATCATAGGAAATCATGGATTTGGGATTTGGTCAGAGGTCATCCAATCCAACTACTTCATTTTAAAGATGTGAAAACTGAGGGACAGAGACAGGCAGGGCCATGGGGAGGTTAATTGAGTTGTCTGACGTCATGAGGCAGTAAGGAATAGATCTGGGATTTGACATTTTAACCCAAAGTTCCTTTGACCCTAAATTCACCAATCTTTCCACTATATCACAAACCCTTAGTCACAGGTCTGATTTGATACACACACATATACACATGACACACATGCATATAATTAGCAATTACATTACTATTATATATGTATATATTTATATACATATCATATTACATATACAAAAATATATAATTGGCAGGTATTACATTGCTATTACTTACACACACACACACACACACACACAGAGTTTTCTCTCTCAGAGACTATACATATTGTATATGTGTACTGTCCCTTTAAGAGGCAATAGAATTGTTAACAGTATTAATTTAACTACCTCTCCTGGGGATTCAGTGGGGAGTGTTTGAATTTTAATGATGAGGGACTTGTGAAGAGACAGATTTTTAACTGTTACCTGTAAAGAGCTTGTGTTTTAGCTGATACCTGAAAAGAACCAAAGATAAGGTCCTTCTGAAGAGTGAACTTTGTGCAAGGCAAGACAGAGGGAAAGAACTTATTCCCTGAAAGGACTGAGTTTAGCCTTTATATTACAAACGAATAAAAGTATTCTTAAGAGAAGATGACTGCCATCCTCACAGCTGAATGGTGGGACAGAGTTTCAGAAAAAAGGAAGTCATGGACTCTGGATGTGATATTTCTCATAGCTACCACGTTAGAAATTATTGTGTTATTATTTCCATTTTAAATCAATTGTATAGACGGTAATTTGATATCTTTAAGCCTAGGAGATGAAGATTTTTGGTATACAGAGAGATGACCTCTATACAGTTTATTAAATGAAAAGTAACCTGGGTTGGGGGCTCAGAGCTAATTGTTTAATAATAGCCATGCTGCAATTTTAGTAATTAATATGGAAATATTCAAACATTTCCCTGGATTATGAGAATTAATATGGCAACAAATCAAATAGCAGGCTAAGGGATTGTTATCCCCACCTCTGCTACATGTGAGGATAGCTAAGTGCTAGCAATCTTGTGTCCAGTAGGTTCTTCTCCAATTCTTTGACCATTTATTAAGCACCTATTGTGAGCAGAGCCCCATGCTGACAGGCCTAAAAGAAGTCTGTTTCTGCCAAGTCACTCCTCAAGTGGGGAGTAGGGTTATCACCAGACCCATTTTAGAAGGAAGGAGACTGGGGCCCACTGAGGCAAGTGGGACTGGCCAAAGCTAATCACAGGATTTCGAGCTGGAGGGGCCTTCGTGTGGGCCAATTCCCTTATTTTACAAGAAGGAGAAACATTCTCATTCACAGAATGGAAGCTCCAGGCTCAAAGCTTTGGCTGCTAGCAGGTATCAGAGCCTTGCCTTCAGGGAGCTTCTATTCTAGTAAAGGAAAGAGATACCAACCGAGACAGCCAGCAGACAGGAAAGATGCCACATGACTCACAAATCAGAGAGAGGCTCATGTCCTGGGGGTAGGATAGAGGCAATCAAGGAAGACTTCCTGGAAATGGTGAGCCTGAATCCCTGACTTGTCCTCAGATACACAAACATTCAGAAATTTGGGGGAAATAAGAGAAATGAGCAACTCCTTGGCTTACTATTTCAGGCTAACACCAAACTGTTGGGTGGGCAGAGGAGGGCGGGGTGGTGGCATCTTCACCAAGGGCGGTGGGCGGCCCAGCCTCATGTTCTGCAGCTTTTCATCATGTCTGGGGACAGAACAAATATCACATCACTGACGGTTACCCCACTGACGGCCACAGAGTGTTCCCAAGGCTCCTCCAAGCTCTGAAGTTTTAGACTCACAGAATATGAGGGCTACGCAGGCACTTAGAGTTAAACACACCATCTCCAATCTCCATGCTTTTGCCTAGGCTGTCCCCCATGCTTGGAATGGCCTCACAGAATCCTTAGCTTCCTTCAAGGTTCATTTCCAGGGCCACCTCCCACAAGGGCTTTCCCTGATTCTCTTAGTTGTTAAGGCTCCCCAGAGGTCTTCAAATTTATCCTGTCTCTTCATGGAGACAGTGTGAGGTACTGGAAAGAATATTAACTCTGAAGTCAGGGGATCTGGGTTCAAATCCTGCTTCAGATACTTTGTGACCATGCTCTCAACTCTGGGCCTCAGTTTCTTCATGTGTAAAGGGAGGCAGCTGGATGTGATGACCTCTGGTATCCTTTCTAGCTGTGATCCTAACATACCTGCCTCATCTGTATTCAAGTCCTTACCCACAAAGTCCCACAGAATCAAACTCCTCAAAGGCAGGCACTTCCTCTTCCCCCATCTTCGTTTTCTCTCCCCAGGACCTAGCATGGGCCTGGTACATAAGAGGTGCCTAATAAATGCTTGTTGATTTGAAATGCGTGTCATCTAGATCAAGGTCCTCATTTAGAAGCTGAGGAAAATTTGGCCCAGAGAGAGGAAAGGACCAGCCCAATGCCACACAGAAAGGTCCTTTGGGGGTTAGGATGATAAGCCTCTGTCTCTGGAGTGAGGCTAGTGCTCCTTTCGTGGGCCTTAGGCAAGCTCTGAAAAGTGTGTCCTCCCAGGCCAAGGGCTACTTTGGGCCTTGTGGCCCTGACCCCCAGCCATATAGCTAACTCCACGTCTGAGCTGGTCAGCAGAGCTTCCTGCCACTGATGAAGGACGAGCTCACCCCCACATTTACTGCACCCTGGGCCAATGACTGTCTTGTCCACCTTAGGTCTGGCTCTGACCCCAGCTGAGCTCACATGTGCTTCTTCCACTGCTATCATCATCATGATGACCATCACCATGACCACCATCATCATCACCATGGTCATCAATGTCCCCATCACCGTTGTCATCAATGTCCCCATCATCATCACCATGGTCATCAATGTCCCCATCACCATCACCATGGTCATCAATGTCCCCATCATCATCACCATGGTCATCAATGTCCCCATCACCATCACCATTGTCATCAATGTTCCCCTTTGTCATTTCTCCAACTCACCGAATGACCTCTGGAGGAATCATCAGCTGGTCATACTTGAGATGCTCCCTTAGCTCACTTAAGTAGTTGAAATATGTCACCTTTTTCCCAAACTTGTGGCTAAAAAAGAAAAGGATCAGGGTTAAGAAGAGAAGCCCCTGCTGGGGAGGTGGGGAGAGGATGACTGAGGGAGGCCAGGCCAGCTTAAGCTTTTGTATTTTGTGGAACCCAAATCCTGACAAGACCAGGAGCTTCCTGTCTTCTCAGCGGCCTGAGTGAAAAGCCACTACCACTATCATCATCCCATTGCATAGAGGAAGAAACTGAGGCTCAAAGAGACAAGACTTGTTTAAATCACACTGCCAGCAAGAGCCACAGCTGGGATTCCTGGACCTCCAGGGCCATTGTGCCACTGAGCCACAGGAAGGGTACCAACATGGTCAGAGGCAGGAGGGACTGCCTTCCCATAGCCAAGCTCCCTGACAATCTCATTTCAACAAAACCAAACCAACAAACTCTCTTCGAAAATCATTAGGAATCCACACCCCCTTGTAAGAGGCCACTTAGGAGCTGGGGGCATTGTAGGAAGTCAGAGAAGGACTTCCTCTGGATGACGAAGGTCTGAGGCTCGGAACCCTCAGAGCAGATAGGTCACTTCAGCAAGGACTGGCTGGGCCCCACAGATGACATGTTAGGGATCAGTAGGTCAAACAGCATTCATTAAACACTAACTGTGTGTCAGGCACCATGCCAGTACTGGGGATACAAAGAAACACAAAATCACCCTCAAAGAACATACAGTCTAAGGGGTAGATAATGTGGAAACAACTACCAGTTCCATAGGTAAGTGGATGGGAGGTGATATGAAAAAAGGAAGGTACCAACAGCTGGGGGAGAGAATGGGGAGGAAGGAGAGAAGCCCAGCCCTCCCCTCAAGAGGCCCACATGCTTATGGGCAGCCAGGCCCAACAGGGACAGAATGGGGAGTCTGAGCTCTATGGCTGCTTCAGCAAGGCACCTCCCTCCTGAGCCTCGGTTTCCTCCTTTGGAAGATGGGGATGAAAATACTGGCACTGGATGGGAGCTGTCTAGCCCAGCCTGGCCTGGAGTCAAGAATCTTTCTTCAGCCTCTCTGATGAAGAGTGGGGTGCTGGGGATAGCTGGGGATAGCTGGAGGCCCCACATGGAAGTGCAGTTGACAGCAACAGAGGGTGGTTGGGATTGAGGGGAGGACAGGATGGCCTAGAGGCTCCAGACCTGGGAGACCAGGTGAATGATGATGAGTGAGGTCAGAAGAGGGAGCGCACCACAGAGGGGAGGAGATGGGCTGATTTGGGATGTGTCAGACAGGACTTTCCAGGAGAAGCCAGGAGAGGCTCATGCCTGATCAGTAGGCTGGCAGCCAAGCCCTCCCTTCTCCCCCCAGCGGAAAACCAGAAGCATCCTGCTGCCCTGCAGGGAGCATTTATCACTGGAATTTCCCAGCTCTCTCAGGGATTACAGGGATGGCATCGATAGACCGGGGTGGACTTTGCCAGCTGACCACCTGAACAACTTTGAGCAAAGCGAAGCTCAGTTTCCCCCTCTGTAAAAGGAGGGGGATGACTGGGGTAGCTGGCCTCCGAGGTCCCTCCCAGGCCTGGGCCTCAGTTTACCCCTCGAGCTGGCCCTGAGGGTCCTTCCAGATCTAGGCCTATGACCCTTGGACTCCAACCCTAGACATAAACCAGAAGACAAAGCCAGTGGCATATGAACTCCCAAAGGGCAGAGACCGTTTTCTCCTCGCACACAGCAAGAGCTTAATAAATGCTCGGTGAAGAACATGAACTCCTCTTCCCTTCCGCTCCCACACACATTCATTAACCAGCTTACTACAGGAGCAGCCGACTTGTGGGCACTGGCTCCCTCTAGTGGAGGAAATGGAACTGAGTGAGTCTCAGCTGATGCCCTCGAGCCCTTCCTAGGAAGCGTGGGGGAGGGGGGGGACGTTTGCAGCCTTTCTGAGCCCAGCCCCCTCAAACAGCACTGGGGGGAGATGACTGCATCATCTGGGAAGCCTGAGGGGTCCAGAGCTGGAAGGGACCTCAGCGGCGATCGGGTCTAAGCCCCTCACATTACTGAGGAGGAAACTGAGGCCCAGTGAGGGACGTTACCCACCCAAGGTCCCACTGGGAGCGGGGGGCAAGGGCAAGATTTCGCCCCAGGCCCTCTGACTCCAAATGTTCTTCCTGCCTCAGAGGCCCTTTGGTCCATCCCAGACCTGACCAAGAATCTCCTTTCTGGCTTCCAGCCAAGGTGGGGGAACTTCCTACAAGACAGCCCCTTTCACTTTGGGAGCCTCCACTGGCCTCTCTGCCACATCTGCCCCTAGGGCAAAGGAGAAAGAGATTAGCTCCTCCTCCGTAGGACAGCCCTTTACCAATGAGAGTTGTCCTTCAGGGAGTCACCCAGCAGAAAACAAGGTGCAGAGCTAGTGATGGTACAGGAGAGGAAGAGGAAAAAGACCCAGAGAGAGCCCTGGGGACAAATGCACCTTCAAACCCCAGAACTTGATTGAGTTCAGACCCAGTAACAAGATGGGTATGTTCATGGATCCAGCATCAAACCAAGCACCATGTTGTTCTTAGCGGGCATGCTGCCCCACTCCCTGTATCAGCGCCTCCACTGGACAAAAAGACCAGCCTGCTTCTAAAAACATCAACCCCTTCAGCTCACTTTTGCATTAGCTTTTAAAAGTTCTCAAGTCACTCCGTGTGTAGGTAGCAGAAATATTAGGATCCCTGGGTTTGAGGCCTGGTCATGCCTCTTTCTAGCAAAGTGTGTGCGTGCATGTGTGCGTGTGTGCGTGTGTGTGTGTAAATGTATATGTGTGAGTATGTGTATATGTGAGTGCATGTATGTGTGAGTGTATGTATATTGTATACTTGTGTGAATATGTGTGAATGTGTATGTGAATGTATGTGTGTATATGTGTAAATGTATATGTGTGAGTACGTGTATGTGTATATGTGAGTGCATGTATGTGTGAGTGTATGTATATTGTATACTTGTGCGAATATGTGTGACTGTGTATGTGAATGTATGTGTGTGTGTATATGTGTAAATGTATATGTGTGAGTATGTATATGTGAGTGCACATATATTTTGTACGTGTGTGTGTGTGTGTGTGTGAGAGAGAGAGAGAGTATGTGTGTGACTGAACCTCCCTGATGGAATGTAACCCTCTTGAGGGCAGGCACTGTTTCCATTTTTTTCCATTGTTTTATTCTCAGTGGGTAGGACATATCTGGCATGCCAGAGGTGCTTAATAAGTGTTTGCTGATGCACAAATGCACTGATTAAAGGTGTAGTAGAGAAGCGCAGCATATTAGGAAGCTAGACTCTAGAAGAGTGGAGACTACAAGGGGAAAGCCCGCTGGCAGCTCAAAAGGGGAAAGGGACGTGCCCAAGGTTATAGAGCAAGGAACCAGAAAAGTCGGGACTAGATTTCAGGATCCAGGTGGTAGCTGCCCCTGTTGAGGAGTCCAAAAATCAGAATAAAAAAAAAATAACCAGAAAGCAGCTCTCCCTCGTGATTCATATGAAGCTGTCTGTGGCCCCGGTCACCAGGGAGCAGTGCAGGATTCATCTGGCAAAGTTTGACAATAAAGTCATTCTGCTGCAAGGCTCTGGCACCATTAGGTTCTGCGGGGGTCCCATCAGGGACAGGGTAAATACGAGGACACAGGAGAGAGGCCTTGGGGAAACCCTTTCTGGGGACAATATTGTTGCCCGTGGTCCTAACAGAAATGGGCCAACCAGCAGTCCCAGGAATGGAGACGCACCTAATGAGGGGCTTGAAAATGGTCCAGAGGATCTTGATGAAGTTGGTAGGATGCACAACATAAAGGGCTTTCAAGTTTTTCTTGTACCTGTTGGAAGAAGCACAGGGTTATGTGAGTCCTCTGATGGGGGCTCTTCTATGAAAACATCTACAGAGACAGGGCAAGGCCCCAGGCCCTCAGCAACAGGTCCACAAAAGCAGGTCCAGACACTTCACTTTGGACTCTTGGTTCAACAAGGCTACAGCTGACGGGAATCTGAACGATGCATGTCCTGCCTGCCTAGATAGAGGGGCAGCGGTAGTGTGACAGAAAGATCTTGGAATTCTGACCATCACTAATTCAGCCTGTGACTCGGGACAACTTTCTTCCCTCTCTATGCCTCAGTTTCCTCCCCTGTAAATTGTAAGGTCTCTCCCACTTCTGACACTCTCTGTTCTAAGTCCCAGCCCACCCTCCTCCTTCCTAGTTCTGACATTCCCTGTTCTAAGGCCTTTCTCGGTTCTGATATCACCTGTTTTAAGGGCCCTCCCAGCTCTGACCTTCCCTGCTCTCGGTTTCCTCTCAGCTCTGACATTCTATGATGCCAAGAGAGGCTTCAGACTGGAGGAAGCCAGCAGCTCTGGCCACTACTACCAGGCCCCCCACCGCCCCAGTTATGAACACCGCCACCTCTAGTCTCTCAGTAGACTCCCAGCAGCTCCGTGAGGAGGCAGGGGAGGGAGTTTAAACCCATTTTACAGATGAGGGGCCCACAGCCCAGAGAGAGTTGTTCAACGGTGCTGCTGCTGAAACTTGTGTCCTCTCTTCACTGTTCTGAGCTGTTTCCCAGGCATCTAGACAGTTGGTTCCTTAACAACAGTTTATCTTACTCCTCCTTGGCCAGTAACTCTGGGAGCATCCAGCATGGAGCCTGGTCTACATATGATCAAATCACTGAACAAGTAGCTTAGCGTCTTGGAAAGAGCATTGCTGTTGGTGTCTGAGGACCTGAGTTCAAATCCTATCTCTGCACTTTGTGACCTTAGCTCAGTCCTTTCCTCTTCTCTGAGCCTCAGTTTCCTCTTCTGTAAGATGAGGAGGTTGGACTAGGAGGCCTCTGAAATCCCTTCTATGATACCAAAAAGGATCTTTGTCGTCAACTGTGTCTGGCATCTGAGGACCATTTTACCTAACTGCAGAAAGCCCCGTCACCAGAGCATTGCCCCAAGAGGATGGACACTTTTGGCCACAGTGACTCACCAAGTCTTTGGGAAAGGGTGTGGCCTCATCGAGAGGGCCCGCAGTGCCTCTGTCCCAGCTCTTTGACATACTCACTTCTGTCTGTCCATTAGCTATTCCATCTCCAGCTTTAAGAATTACCCAAACCTGGCTCCCACGTTTGGTCCCAGGAGGAGTTGCCCATTCCACTGGGCTCAATCTCACCTCCCCCCATCATCTGGCTTCCCCTCCATCTGACTTGAGTTCTTTCCCTTCCTCTTCAGCTAAGAGGAGCCCTCCTACCCACCTGCAGCAAGGCAGACACTCCCCCCCACCCCCTCCAAGACCGGACCCCAGACATACTTCCGGCCCAATTCTTTGTAGGCGCTTTGAAGCCAGCTCAAAGAGGGCTTGTTGCGGCTCGTCAGCCCGTAGTGGAAGTAGACGATGGTGTAGTCATTCTCTACATATTGGTCAAGGGTGTACTTCAGGTACCTGGCCAGGGGACAGGGAGAGATCGTATTGTCCGAATCAGCTTCTTCTAACTAGCCCTCACCACGTTCCTTCCCCCTGCCTCACCTGCAGTGGTCTCCCTCTCACCAGGCATCAGAAAACTATCACCAAAAAACTCAGAAAACTCAACTGGGCAGAGTCCTTTATGAGACGACTCCATTCCACACACATTTATTGAGCACCTACTGTGTGCAGACCCCAGTGCTGAGGCTAGAAGCATCTACAATTTAGAGAAAACTTCCATGAGGCTTCTGGGTGTCTAGAGCACTGGCAGAGTTCTTAGAAGTTATCCTGCCCGAACCCCCTCTTTTTGTACTTCCAGAAGCAGTTCAGTGACAAGATCACACAGAGAGTGGCAGTCAGGACTCAAACCCAGGATCCCTGCCTACAAGGAAGTCACAGAGCTGGAACTGGATGGTATCTCTGAGGCATCTATCCCAATTCTCTAATTTTGCAGGTGAAGAAACTGAGGCCCAGAATAGGGCCAGGTCCCTCCACCTCTAGCTAACTCTAATAGGAAATCTTTCCTAATGGTTGGACCACTCTCCCTCTCTCCCACTCTTCCCAATGCCCTCTGGGGCCAAGAAGAAGTCCTTGCCTCTCTCCCATACCCCCAACCCCAAAGAAAATACCATTTTTTGGTCTAAGGAGGCATGGGCTCAGTAATCCTAGAATAGGATTCCCCCATCCCCACCTCTAAACAAAACTGGAAGCAGCCCATGTTAGGAAAACAGGCATACTCATGCATTGTTGGTGGAGTTGCGAATTAGTCAGTCTTGAGCAACAGTCTAGAAGAGTCTCCCATGAGGTGCAAGTTAGGGGGAATTTAGACTGCTAGCCTCAGAAAGGATCTTCTGAGCAGGAATCTGCTCTAGGACCCCTTTACCATTCAGTGGGTCTCCAGCCTCCAGCTCTTCTCAGTAACCATAGTACAAAATCTTTCATGCTAAGGGCATTAACCTTAGCATTCTGTGAGGTATGAGGGGAAGGCCATTACCAACAGGAAGGACTCAAGAAGGCTTCCTGGGCCAAGAGGGTCTGGGGGCGACAGATACCTGCCCGACTGGAGCGTGGTAGCAGGAAAGGCATTCAGGACACAGGAAGAAGTCTGAGTGGAGGCCCAGTTGGGTGGGAGAGCCCAGGCAAGGCCTGAGGACCAAGCAGAGGCTGGAATGCACAGCGAAGAATTCTGGGTGCTCTGCCTCCCTTGACTGTGAGACCCAGGAGGGCAAGGACAACACCTCGTTGGAGACCAGGTCCCAGTACAGGCCTTGGTGTACAGCAGTCACTTCATAAATGCTCATTAAACCCTACGTCACACAGAAATGCCAGGGACAGCGACCTCTCTCGAGGAAGGCGTGAGGGGCAGAGGCAGGAGGCTTACCCCAGGAGGTGGCTGTGGTTGAGCTCGTGAGAGGGGGGCATTCGGCAGCAGCTGAAGGTAATGACTCGTCTCCCTGAATTGTCATCCCCTGTGAAACCAAAAGAAGATCTGCTGGTCAGGGCAGAGCAGTCAAGACTGAGGGGGAGCCTTGGGGCTCTCCTTCGCTGGCCGTAGGAGGAAGGGCCAGAGCACACCCCAGGCCTGGCAGCAGATCCAGGTTGACAAAGTCAGCCCCTCTCTGGGCCTCAGTCTTCACCTTTGCCAAACTGGGACCAGCCCCAACTCCTGCCGTCCTAGTACTGGCGTGTCGGTCCTTTCCTTCCAGCCACACATCTCAGGCACTGGGGGGATGGGAGAGTCTCTCAAAGAGAAGTAGGAGGAGGTCAGTGGGCTGCTAGGATCCCCCTGCCGAGCTTCTGGAAAGGGGAGGCAGTGCTCTCTGCTGCTCCCACGGGTGGGTGTTAAGAGAAATGACACCTGGTCCAGATCAGCCCCTGCTGGAAGCTGCCTGGGCACTAAGAGGTCACACAGCCAGGATGGTACCAGGCAGGGTCGGACACAGCCCTTCTAAGGGGGGCCCTCTGACCACTGTGCCACACTGCCTTTCTACTAAGTTATTTTGTTATTCACAGATTTGGGAGCTTTGCATCTCTTCATTCCAAGACCTTTCACAAACAGAACTGGGCCCTCCAGGGGGGCAAGGCCAGCAGGCCCCCCAGCCTCACTCCAGCCCCATGTACCTGCTAAGTGGAGGATCCCATGCCTGGCCACGTCGTAGTATGGATGGTCCATGCCCAGTGCTGAGTCCTTGCAGGCTGGGGTGCACGCAAGTGACACCCTTGGCGCTCCTAATGTAGTAGCTTCCTCTTCCTCTTTCTGTAATTCTGCAGCAAGAAACAAGCCTTGAAGGGTGCAGAGGTCCCGACAGCAGACGCCCCCAGCAAGAAGGCTATCAGCTCCACGGTGCACTGGCCATAGGCAGAGGCGGTGGAGGCCCCATCCCAGGCCTCAGGAGCACCGCCAGAGCAGCTCCCTCACCGGAGACCCAGGAGAAGATGGCACCATCACCATCCTCATCCTGGGCATGTCTCCAGGGTCTCCTGGACATGGATATTTGCAGAGCACTTTCTGCACCACAGCCCCTGCCAAAGAGGGGATTTGAGCCCTGGTCTTCAGGCTCAAAGCCAAGGTCTTTTCACTGCTTCTTTCTTGGGGCCCCATTTGAAGGAGGATGGAGAAGATGGGGTGACTGGGAAGGCCAACCCAGCATGCGTGTGATGTATCACAGAAACAAAAAAGTGACCTACAAACCCACTGGTCAGTCCGCCACATCCCTTTCTCCGATGAAGCAAGAAGACTGTGTAGGCCCAGCCAGCAAGGGGCGCCACGCACTTCCATTTCAGAGGCTTTAGACCCTCTCTAGGTCTGTGGCCCTGAGCTGGAGCCTCTATGATGTGGGAGAAGAGCTTCCTGGACTGGATGTCCCCCTAAGGCTAAGGCTGTGTCTTGTGAAGACTCTCCATCTCCCCCAGAGATAAGGGCTCTGCCTGGAGCTCAGCACACAACTTGAGGCTCCGTTTGCTTAATTGGCTGAGTTCCAGTGAATAGGCCCTTTCTGCAGTCTCACGGGGGGGACGAAGACCTGAGTTCCAGTCTGCTCTGTTAACCTTAGGTTAGACCCTTCGTTCTCTGGGGCTCAGTTTCTATCATCTCTAAAACGGGCAGAGAAGTCAAGGCTCTCCCTGCCTGTCGGAAGAAATGAGCCGCGCACAGAAATAAGAGCTCGTTGCTACAATGCCTGGCCCTGCCCTCCCCAGGTCCCCATCAGGAGCTCCCAGCAGGCGTGGTGTAGGAAACGGCACAGTGACTGGCTGTCTCTGAAGCTTACATCTGTCTCTGACATTGGCCCCAGATTGTCCAGGACACCAAGTGAAATGGAATCAGGAGCATTTACCTATCTCTGCTAATGCCTCCAAGTCAATCCCCGACATGTTTCCAGCAGAAGCCAATCCAGCTTGGAGGCTGGGAGTGGAGCTCAGGGTTCCCTCCTGGTCCTCAGATCGCCTCTTCTCAGACAGCTCTAGAAAGGATGCATATGGCTGATGAGAGTCTAACAAAATTACGAATCCCAGCTTGAGAGCTGGAAGGAAGGCAGACTCCTCGGGGCTCACCCAGTCTGATCTCCTTTTATGGGGGAGAAAACTGACGCCCAGAAAGGGAAGTGACAGGGCAGCTAGGCAGCACAGTGGATAGAGCACTGGCCCTGAAATCAGGAGGACCTGAGTTCAAATCCGGCCTCAGACTAAACACTTGACACTTACTAGCTGTGTGACTCTGGGCAAGTCACTTAACCCCAATTGCCTGAAAATAAAAAGTAAAAATAAAAATAAAGATAAAGAAAAGATTGTTTAAAAAAAAAAAAGAAAGAAAGGGAAGTGACCAGCATCAGATCACCCAGGTAGGAAGTGGCAGATGCTGGACCTGAATCCAGACCCTCGACCTCCCAATACAAGGCTCTTTCTACTGTTTACCTTGCTGCTTTAGACAAGACTTTTAAAACTCTCTCATTTCCAAAGTCTATGAGCTTAGGGAAAAAAACAAAGATCATTCAAGTGATCAAAACCCGACTGATTAATTCCACCATTCTCGACATCACTCGGGTCGGCAGTGTTCCACGATGGAGAGAGCCCTGTGCTCTCAGCTAAGTGGATGACCGGGGGCAAATCCCTCCCCCTCTCTGGGCCTCAGTTTCCTCATCTGCAAAAGGAGTTGGCTAGCTGTGTGACCCTGGGCAAGTCACTTAACCCCGATTGCCTCACCAAAAAACAAAAAACAAAAAAAAACAAAAAAGAGGATTCCTTTCAACTCCAGCTGATGACTCTATGAGCCTGTCTGCTTTGATCATCCTAAAATGGGGGTTGGGAGGACCTTCTGTCCCAGAGCAGGGTTTAAATGATTCCCACACGCAAACTTCCATTTCTGTCCTCCTCTCACCAGGAATGGCCTCCCAGATTCCCTGGCCCAAAGGACTCTAGAGCTGCAAGGAGCTAAGGTCATCATCCCATTTTACAGATGAGGAAACTGAGGCCCAGAGCCCAGAGTCCCAGTTCTAACAAATACCCACTGATTTCAACCAGATTAAAATGTCCTCAGAAAGAACCTGGGCTGAAACTGTCTCAAAAGCTGAATACAGCAGGAGTTAGACTACCCGAAGTGGTCCACGAGGGAGAAGGGAAAGGTCCCTGTGTCTGTGTAGACAGCTATATCTGATGCCTACACTACCCAGTTGCATTCCAGGGGACCCCATCATAAGCCGGATGGAATAGGTCTCATTTCTCACAGCCTTCAAGGTGTTGATGTTCCCTTGATGGATACCTCCTCTGTGCCAAAGAGATAACATAATCCCTAGGGCAACACTGCACAGCTCAGATCACTGCTAACATGCTACTGAGGGAACTCCTTTGACCTCAAACCTTTGTGATAAGATAAACTAGAGATGGAGAACATTTCCTGGTATAGAGATGAGCCCGATCTCCTTCTCTCTCCACTCATAAAGAAATGAAACAATCTACTTATACCAAGGGGCAGCTAGGCAGCACAGTGGATAGAGCACTGGTCCTGGAGTCAGGAGGACCTGAGTTCAAATCTGACCTCAGACACTTATTAGCTGTGTAACCCTGGGCGAGTCACTTAACTCTGCTTTAGTTCCTCATCTATAAAATGAGCTGGAGAAGGAAATGGCAAATCACTCTAGTATCTTTGCCAAGAAAACACCAAATGGGGTTATGAAAAGTCAGATACGACTGAACAATAACAACACCTATATCCACCAATGGCAGTGGGAAATTCATTCATTCACTTATTCATTTGTTCATTCAACAACTGCTTTCACCAGTGTTGGGCATGAGAGGAAGAGAATGATAAACAACATCTGCTCATACATGTAGGGTTGTGGGCTCAGAGATTGTTCCAAGGAGTGCCAGGACCCCTCAGCCCCCCACCCTCCAGACCCTGTCTATGGCTCCCCCCCCAATTCACTGTAAAGTGGATTGTTGTTATAAAAATAGAAATGTGCAAACAGGCTCTGACAGCAATTACCTTCATGCTGCCCAGCCAAATTAGTGCCTCGGTCCCTCGGGCAAGTTCTCTGGAAATGGCATTTGGGACCTGAGGGCACAATGAGAGAGGCCAGGCCAGAAGCAGCCCTCTTCTGGATCTGGACCTGGCAGGGCCAGGCCAAAGCAGCGGGCTTGGCCACAGAAGGTGAGCCCACATCAGTAGTCATCACAGCAGGATCTCTAAAGCCCTTTGAGGTTTGCAGAATGCTTAATCCCATGTTCTTCAAGTTAAGGCTCTGAGATGAAATGAGGGTGCACAGGCCACACAGCTGGGAAGTGGCAGGGGCAGGATCTGAACCCAGGACCCCCTTACTCCAAGGGGAGCACCCTCCACTGCCCCACCCCCGCTGCTGAGAGCAGGGATCCTTTATACCCTGTAAAGTCTTCATTCCAGGGCCAAGGACCCTGCAGGAGCTCAATGCTGACCCAGGTATTTTAACTCAATTCAACACTTAGTAAGTGCCCACTGTGAGCAGGGTGGTGCTCTGGACTGGGAGACTCACCAATTTTTAGATAAGACAGGAAAGGTGGCCTTGCCCAGAAATGGAGAGGCAGAGGCAGGACATCTTTGGTTCAAAGCCTGTAGCAGACACGTCACATTGGCCACACGACCCCAGACACTGGGCTTTCTCTAAACTAACAAAATCACAGGGGGTGTCTGCCCTTGTTCAGTCCATGGGTGTGCATGTATGTGTGTATGCATACACATGTATGAGTGTATATGTACGTGTGCATATGTACATGTCTATGCACGTGCATGTATGTCAGTGTGATATGTTTATGTGTGCACATGTGTGTTTATACATATGTGAGTGTATATGTTTATTTGAGTGTGCATGTATGTATATGTGTGTGAGCGTGTATGTATGTATACATATGTAAGTACATATGTTTACACGCGTGTGTGTGCATATGCGTGTTTGGGGGTGTGTGTGTGTGTGTGTGTGCATATGACAAAGTCCAGACCTGCCCCTAGCTTTCAAAGACCTTATAATGCAATGGGGGTGAGCGAAGCAGCTGCAAAAAATACATCAAGTTCCCCCTCCACTCTCCCCACCCTGACTCCTCCAAACATCTAGAAACTGCCGCAGACCAAATCCTGACTGGGAGAGCCAAACGACAGTCTCCAGGAGTCACTTCTCCAGCCCAGGCTGGCATAGGGCTACACACAGGGAGGTCACCACTCACGGGGGGTGGAGTCTGGCCAGGAGCATGCCCCCTGGAGCCCTCCAGGGCAGAGAGAAGCTGTGCACAGGAGCAAGAGATGGTGCCAAGCGCCAGCATTCCCCTCTGTGTCCCCCCAAGTGCCAGGGCACAGACCCAAGGCAGACGAGGATGTCACCTACACCTAGGGGCAGCATTTCCCTCTGAGGTAAGGAGTGGTGGAAGGGCCTAAGGCAGGGGACAAGAGAGGCATCATTCTGAAGCCGGCAGCAGCTGTGTGGCTCTGACCTCAGGAGCAGAGAAGGGTCTCTGTTCTAGCTCCTAGCCCAATCTGAAGCCCACAGAGGAAGAACCAGGGCAGGAATCCCATAGCAAATGGGAACCCGAAGTTCTATCGCTCTGAAGCAGCATACCTGCCAGCTCGCTGATGATCCAACAGCATCTACTGAAGCTTCTGTCAGGGCTCGCAAGCCCGGAGGCTGCTGCTAAGGTCCAAACTTAGGTTAGGAAATTGCAGAGCTTAGATGGGGGCAGGGGGAGGAGGGATCAGGCATCACGCCACCAGATCTTTTTGGGAGCATTGAAAGCTGTCAGGTCTTCAGCCAGAGAGCCTGGAATAACACAACATCTAATACTCCAAGAGAGCAGCAAGACCAACTCGGACCTTCCCTGAAGATGTATGAAGAGCCCTAATGGGAAGTTCAAAGTCAGGAATCTGGAAGAAGGCACAAGGAAGTCCCACCATAAAAGGTTATCACAGTGACGGGGTCACTCAAGATGCAAACCCAGAAGAAGAGGGTGACTCCAAAACAGCTACAAGCAAAGCCTCAGAGGAAAACACAGCTTGGACACAGACTCAACTAGAATTCCTGGAAGAGATAAAGCAAGAGTTTAAAAGGAAATTAAAAGTGTCTTATCCATGATATGAGAGCACATGGGGAAAAAATTGGAAAAGAAACGAGAGCTAAAGATGAATAAATTGGAAAGGGAATTAACAGCCTGGCACAAGATGTACGCAACCTTGTGGCAAACTCCCTAAAAATTAGAATGAAGCAAATAGAAGCCAATGACTCCATGAGACAACAAGAAATAGTACAACTGAGGCTCAGGGATAACATGACTTGCCCAAGGTCACTCAGCTAGGAAGTGTTTGAAGTGGAATTGGAATCCACATCCCCAGACTCCACCTCATTATGACTCATCATATGCCAGGCTCTGAACTTTGAGCTAGGGGAGAGACACAGCAGAATGGCAGCCCATTCCCTGCTGGCCCCCAAAGAGTCGGATCAAGTGAGGGTGTGACAGATACAGGAGAAAAAAATTTAGAATTGTTAGACCACCTGAAAGTCATGACCAATTTAAAAAAAAAAAAGAGCCTCTAGATCATATTTCAAGAACTCTTAAAGGAAAACAGCTGGGATCTTTCAGAAGCAGAGGACAAAGTGGGATGAGAAAGAATGGGCTGGGCCCCTCCTGAAAGAAACCCCTCGGGGAACAGTCTGACACCACAGCTCTGCAAGCCTGAGAATGTCAGGGTGCCCGAGTCTGCGATCAGGAGATTTTCAAAGTGTTACATGCATGCACGGAAGAGAACGGCAGGAAGGCTGGAAGGGAACACAGATCAGCAGGACAGTTTGGAAAGTGACGGGGCAAATCAATTACATATTTAAAAGGAAAAACAACAGAGATTTATACTTTCACCTAAATTACAACCCTCTTTTTCTGCTCTGCTGTGTATAAGGAAATGCTCATTTTATACGCTGTTTGTTACGTGCAGAATTTGAAAAATAATGACATTTTTTAAAAGATACATTTCTAGTTATTTTTATCCTGGCACATTATGGTTCAATTTCTAGGTTCTCTTTCCCCTCCTCAATGAGCCCTAGGAGATGTGGGTTTGTGATGGGAAGTAGAGGTAGGTGAATGGGGCATATCCCTTCCCATGCTTACCCAGTGATAGGGGATAGAGGTGAGATGCTACTACTTATTGAGGGTTGTAAGCTAGAATGAGAGAGGGGATGCCATGGGGCTTTGGAAACATTAAGGCTCTATAGAAATGCTGCTGCTGATTGCTGCCAAGATCTCCAGAGGTGTGCCATGGCTGGCAGCCAGGACTCCTGATTTCCTGGGTCCTGAGGTCCTTTCTAGCCCAATTTGTCCACAGCTCATAATCTCTTGATCTAATGTACAGGTTTCTGACATTTGCCAAGGTCAGGCAGAGACTGGAACCCAGTACCTTTGGGACATTCCCAGCTTCCTCTGCCAGGCTGGAATGGGGGGAGGGGGGAGAGAAAGCACAGGCAACTCAGTCCCACAAGCTCAGAGCAAGGCTGAAAGTGTGTGGGACCCAAGCCCAGCACCCCAGCTCGGCAAGCCTGAGTGTCAGGATGCCCAAGTCCGGGACCCTACAGATTTTTAAAGATGGAGGTGGGGGGAGCCATTTTACTATCCAAACGGTTCACATACTCCTTCCTCAGCCCCATGTGACCCCGATTATTCTAGCATCTGTGGGCGAAGAAAGCTCCCGGTGACAACCAGCGGCTAGGGATTCAGGAAGGCTGGGGCTCCAGGCCCGCCCCCACCCCTACCTCGCTTTGTCACTAGTTATGGGCCCAAGGGTCGGTGACCCCTCTCAGATTTCCGGCTGTGTAGGTGGGGGCTCCTCAACCCAACAGGGCTCTGACCTCAGAACTAAATAGCGAGGCTTCAGGGAGACAGATAATGGACAGAACCGCCTTTAGGCACGTCCGGTGTGCCGGGCCCCAGCCAGAGCGCCAGGGACCCGGGGACAAAAGTGAAACCAAGTCCGGCTTGGCCGCTCCCGCCCATTCCATGGGCGAGTGAGGCTCTTCTGTCCTCCTGGCCTCAGTTTCCTCTTCTGTGAAAATGAATGGGAGGATGTCAGCGGCCCCCTGAAGCTCCAGGCTCCTCGCACTCCCAGCCTCTCCTTCCAAAGTCCCTCGCCCCCTCCCCAACCCCTTGGGAAAAGGGGCGGAAGCCTCCTCCAGCTCTGACTTGGAGTCTGGGAACCCCGGGAAGGAAGGACCCCGTGGGAGGAGGCGGGGAGGCGCTCCCCAACCCAGAACTCTTTTCTAGAGGTGGGGGGAGAGGTGGGAGGTAGGAGCTGGGCCAAACGATCCAGCCCCCAGCCAGGTGACCTCAGTGCAACGGCCCCTCCCTCTCCCTAACGACTTTCTAGTCCCGCAACAGGTGCGCCCTGATCCCACATCCTCCTCTCCCCAGCCTAGCCCAACCCAGTCTTGACTCACCCGGCCCTCCGGC